AAAAACAAAGCCAGAAAACAACTGTTGATATTAAGTCACAGGCCTACTTCAAAATTTACTCATTTCATATTGAAACTAATTCTATGGATTAAAAACTTCGATCGCACACGTAAACTACCAGTAGTTCTCAATAATAACCCAGCTTGGCAAAGAACTGATACTTTTCCATGTTGTTTGGGCCCTTTCTCATAGATCACAAAAACCAAGAAGCCAAACCAAGCAGCCAACAACAAAAAACTCACCTCTAAACAAGCCTAAAAACATAATTGACTGAGAAGAGCTGATTAAGGTAGATAAGATTTCCACCATATCCAAAACCCACACAAATTATTAACATCTTGACAGATTTAAAAAGCTGCAGCGTTTCAAATGATGATTCAAATAAAAAGAAAGGAAGGTAGTAACCGGGTGATACGGTTTAGTTTTTTTGTGTGGGAGGGTAAAGAGTGTGCCATTAAGTTAAAGTAAAAAGAATCACAAAGAAATAACTAAATTCCCCAGATTTTCTTTTAAACAAACAGATATTTTAAAAAAATCAAGTGCAAATCTACTTTAATGTTAACACTCACTTTCCCTTACCCTTAAAAGTTCTGTCATACTGAAGCAATGGCTTCTAAAATTTAGATAAATCAAATGTAATTAATAGGCAATGAAATAAAATTCCTGGCAATCTATTTTCCAACCCAACTTGTACAATAGAAAGCACAAAAGAAACCAAATTAAAAGAGATGACTCTGTGCAATTAAAGCACTTTATATTAAAAAGGAAAACCAAATTCAAAAGCCAAATCACCTCCCAATTTCATTATGTAGTTTTCTGTATTTTTAGAAAAATAGTCATATAGTTTCGAGTCATTTTTGAACAATTTCCCATATTATTAAACAGAAGAGAGTATCAACAGAACTATGTAAATAATCTAGACACTTTACCTATTATCGTCTATTTCTAGAAAACAAACATTAGTTTGCCCTTCCCCAATTTCAAAAGGACTTAATCACAGTAGTAGTCAAACTGAGGCAAAGCTCATTCATATCACAGATACTCAGAGGCCACTAACATTAAAGTTAAAACATTAAAATAATGAAGACAGTAAAACCAGCCAACTGCTACATTTTCAAGTTAAGCTAATTTGTTTTAAAGCAAGCAAAATATCGCTCTAAAAATGAACCCAGTATTTACAGTAAAATAATGCCTATATTGTACTCAGGATTCTAAAACTGTTGAATGCTTTTATTCCTTAAAGGATTACTATGAACTATTTGTAATTCATTTCTTTAGCTAAAAAAATTAATATTTTAACAGGCATCATCACTCCCCCAAAATAAAATATGGTCATAGCGGTATGGAACCAATACTTTGTGGTATAATTACATACAGATTTCTTAAAGTCAATTTAAGCCAAAAATAATAAAATATACAATGCATATAAGTCCATTTTCCTCACTTGAACTTGCCAATAAGTAAATAGTAAAAATCCCTTACCTTATCAATTATCTTTTGGAAATGAACTTCTACTGTACAACTCTGAATGTCCTTGTGTTCATCAGAATTATGTATTAATACTGAGAGTTTTTTAGATCTTATTTTTTGTGCTCGATAGCCAAACACAAAAAGCATAGAATCAATAACATTGGATTTGCCACTGCCATTTGGCCCAATAATACAGGAAAAGCGCTGCATAAAAAAACAAAACCAAAAACACCCAAAGGCATAAGGTCATGCTAATACTACTGATTTTAACTTAAACTGTTAGATTGTTTCATTTATAGTAAAACTACAAGTATTTAAAAGTCATTTCTAACCACGGGCATACAACTGGAGTTTCCCTACATCACGTTCTCTTACAAGCTTCAACATTCAGTAAGAATGCTAACGCAGACTTTTTAGAAAACTCATTGTAATAAATTACCTAACGGTTCCAATAAAGGATTTATTCAGGAAAAAAATTATCTAAAGGAAAATACTCTTTCAAACAAAAACACACCAACTCCATTCAATGGAAAACTTTATAGCTAGAGGTGCCAAAGATAACCAGATAAACAAAAGATAATATCAGTTGTTAAAATCGTATGAACAGATCGTGCGTGAGACAGACACACACAGAGAGACAGACAGAATGAATATGACTGTCAGTATAGAGAGGATAGTTACAAAACCTGAAACACTGTGTAAAGACGTATTACCCTACAATAGTTATTTAAAAGTTATAAAATAGTTATTTCCATACAAATACCTTATGGAAAGGTCCCAGAATTTTCTCCCCAGCATAGGATTTGAAGTTCTGGTTTACAATATGAGTTATCATAAGCCGAGGAGCTCCAGCTTCATTGGTCATTGCTGGAGGCGGGGGAGGAGGAATGCTATTCAAAATCTCTTCTAAACTTCTATTATCAAGTTCCTCACTTGCAGACTCTAAGCCAGAGAAGGAAAGAAAAAGGAAGGCAAAGGCGGGGTGGGGACCCTACATTAGTGAAATTAGTTTGGAGAACTAATGACTGCCCATCTTTAAAGAAGGGGATTGAGGGATGCCGTTTATGACACTCTGCAGTCTATATTTTCCACTTAATATGTTATTGTCTTAAACTCACGGGGGTGAGAATCTAAACCTTCAGCTTGGTTTTCATTAAAAAAGAAATTCTTGAAAGAAATGCCACCAGTCACAAAATTCTATATACCTATACCTCCTAAGAGTCAAAACACTACATTATAGAGCAAATCTGGGAAAACTGTAACAAGCTGATTTCCTGCTATCCTAAACAGGAGGTTAATCAATCCTAGGGCCATAGATCCAATTCTCCGTACCACTACGGCTGAGCACCTGGAACCTTCGTTTTGGAAACACATGAACTTCGGGGGCACTGCCATAGGGGTTTCATAATGTCACCTAACTCCTGGATTCACAAAAGCTACAGTGGTTTCAAATAAATTATCGTCTGCTCTTTAAAGGCAATCTAAGACCACGGAGGTGAGGTTAGGGTCAAGCAATTTTCATCACGCTCACATAGTCATACTGATTTTCTCTGGGAAAAAAGTCCATTTGCTCTTGACTGATCGTCTCGATTTTAGCAGAACTACAATAAAGATGTACCATTCCGAAAGGTCACAAAGATTCACAACTGAACCCGTTTGCTTGCCCCCATCGCTTCCAACGCCGTTACACCAAAATTGCACAGGAGTCCTATCTCAAAGTCACCAAATGGCTTTCCTGAGCTGCTCTACGGGACAAACACCGGACCTTTAGATGTCAACCCCGCAGCCTCTTGCCCGCGCTCAATAACTTCAGCCAACCTCTGGCTGGGCGCGTATGCCTGCCAGTCCCCCTGCGCGCGTTCCTGCCGAGTCGCGACGGGTCACTCACCTGCGGCGGTAGGTGGACTCTCCGCGCGGCCGGACGGCGGCTCAGGCTCCGTGTCGCTGCTGGCGCCGTCAGGGGACGGCGGCGGCCCTCCCTCTTTGCGCTTGGCCGTGGAGAGCTGGGTGCCTTTACGGGGCATGGTCGCTGGGGCCAGTGGAGAGCCGGGAGCAAGTCAGCCCGCGGGCCGCTGCACCGCCCGTCCCACCCGGGGAAACCTCGGTCCACCGGCTTCCGAGAGCCCCGTTTAACATCCCGCTCAGCGGGACTTCGTGAAGAGGCCACCGGAAGAGGCAAGTGGCAAGAAGGCAGGACTGGTTTCTTAACAAGACCTATGTAAGTGGGAAAACCTAGACGTGCCTGAGATCACTCAACAATCGAGCAACTGCTTAGGGTTTTTTTTTTTAAGACCCTCCAATCGTCCGCCCGCGGTACAAGCGTGTAATACTCGCTAACGTAATTCTAACGGAGGAACTCCAATACGCCAGCATTTCCTGACATTCCCACGCTCTCGGGGCCAGGACTGCAAGTGATCCGACTTGGGAGAGACGAGTTCGTGTCAGGGTCAGGATCCAGTGGCGAACAACTCTCGAGAGCAGTGAGGACTAACCGGCGACTCGCCGCACGCTTTCCTCTGCCCGCCCTTTAGCTCCCGGCGCCGTGGACGGCCTGGGGCATAACGAGGTCTCCCTCCTCTCCGCAGTCCGAACCGCGAAGGGCGAAGGCTGGGACCAACCACTAGCAACTTCAAGTGGGACACTGGCAGCGCCTGCCTACTAATTTTGGGGTGGCAGGAGTTTGTGTCTCCTGCTCCCCGGGTGGAATCCCTCCCGTTGGACAGTGAACCATGAAAGGTCACCAGCGAAGGCTGAGACCCGGTAACTAATCCCTTGGCAGAAGACAAGAGGGGTAGGGGGAGACGCCCTTTCCCAGATACAGACCAATATTTTTTTAGAACAGATTTGCGAGGCTTGGAGTCTCCCCGAGAGACGTTTGAGTAGCTCGGAAAAGTGGCGCCCGGGAGCAGCGGGCGGGAGCCCGGGCGGCCGGGGAGCGGCCGAGGGGGGAGGGGTGACAGCAAGCGCAATCTCCCAGCGGCAACCTCAGCCCGGACTTCGCTGCTCCGGCTCAAGGCCTCTATTTTCCAGGCGCCCGCGGACAAGACAGGAAGTAAGAGCGTGACAACCTGACCAGGAAGAGAAGTACTTTACCTGCGGGACAGTCCACTCAGACCAAGGCTGGAGACGGTTGTGTAGTACCCCCTACCTCCCCGCTCCTACCGGTGTTTCGGCTCCGGGTCCTTCACTCGAAAATGGCGCCTAAAATACAAACTCGAACGGAAATTCGTTACAAATGCGCGCAATGATTTCTGGGATCCACTAATTTGAAAAAAAGTGCGGCGATTATCACCGCCATCTTATGGTCGTTCCTGCGCATGCGCGAACTTCTGGCGGGACCTAGGCGATAGAAGTTTATACTAAGTGAAAACAGCGAGGGATTGTTTTCTTTATGGTCTACAGTAGCAGCACTATTATTAAAAATATTTGGAAAAACAACCTGGCAAGTTTTGGAAAAGATTTTTAAAAATGGGTAGGGTTCTGCTCGCAGCAGGAGGCGGGGCTCAATGGTCCATAAACGCCTCTTCAGAAGAAGGCGGGCTCGCTCAGAGGCGGGGTCTCGGCCCCATTCGGATGACGTGCGCGTAGAAGTATCGCGGGAAGACGAAGGGAGCGTAACTCTTAGAAGTCACTATGGTGACGGGGAGATCCGGAGGCTTCTTGGTAACTGGTACCAACTATTTGTGAGCAATCACCACCGCTTTCCTGGAACTTAAGGTAAATCTCGTCAACTCTGGACGTGGTGAGAAAAGAGTTTGGAAGTTGTAGCAGTCACAGGATCCCCATCTTTCCTGTTTTGAAGGTGTGTGCTTCGTGGAGCATCATTTTCTGTCTTCGCTGGCGGCAGTGGGGGCTCTGGGTGTAGCTTTTGAAATGTGAAGGAGGAAGCCCCTGAGTTTGAAGGGAGTAGAGAGACAATTCGAAGACTTGGATTAGTATAGCTTAGTCCACATGTGAGTATCACAATAACGATTTTCGAGTTACTGGTTTTAGATCAGTGGTGTTAACTAGTGAAATGTTTCGGACTTTTAAAATAATTTTACTAAAAGGCTTTGTAATGGAAAAAAATTTTATGAGGGTATTATCGATCAGCAAATATTCCTTAAGTAGCTTTTGTATACATTACACTGGATAAGGCATAATTAGGATTAGTAAGCAAGTTTAGCAATTACTGTTTCCTGAGAAGTTAGTTTTAGTGGGTTTTTAACCTGGGGTCTGGATCTGGTGGTAGGTGATTGGGCTTCAGAGTTCATAACTCCCCGAAAATTGTATACATAATTCTATGTGCATTTTTCTGGAACGTTAGTGTTTCTGCAACTTTCATCATAATCTCATACTTGGCTCCTAATTCCCTGCATTGTTAAAGAACTACCAGCTCATGTGATTATCTCCAGTATTTATGCAACAACTTTTAAGTACTTGACATTAAGAACTCGCCTCCTTTTTTTTTCTTTAACTTTTGCTTACTTAGGGTCTGGCATATTAAAGCATAAATAAATCTGCTTTTTGAATGAATTTACATGATCAATTTAAATATATTATGATTCTTCCATCGAAGAGCATGAAGTCAGGTTAAGTGATTCTCAAAAAGAGGTGGAGAGCCACCCTCCGCCAACCAACTGTAAGACTTCGGTGAGGTTGGGAGACTGGTGTGTTTTGAATAAGCATAGGCTCAATATCATGATGTATCTTTATGTTTGAAGTTAAAAAATAATTGTTGTTTTCTCATAAAACAAACTATAGAAAGTAATGTTCAATAAAAGAAGTTTTTGGCTGGTAAGCACACCAAGAAGTTCAGGGATTATCTCTGAGGGCTTCTGGAAGTTTTGCATTTCCAAAAGTTGTAGAACACGGCAAAACCTGAGTCAGAGAGGTATTGACTATGAAAAAAATAAATAGACCAAATCGAGTGGTGTGCTCAAACAGCACAATGTAGTGGAAAAATGTAATATAGAAAAAAAGAGTCCCAAGTTCCATCATTTCTGAGGTATATGCTTGACAGTTTCCTCACTTTGTCAATCTTGAGAGTATTTATTTATGAAACCAGCATATAATACCTGTCTCAGCATACTGTTTATGATTATTCATCTAGCACACATTCCATAAAGATTTGATTTTGCTGTGTTTATGACATCCTTAGGGTGTGCTGAGGATGAATAAGGGATATCAAGTTAGAGGAAGTGTAGCTTTTGAAGGATCTTGAAAACCAAATCTAGGATGTTAGATATGAAATGGAGGAAATAACTTTTAGAACAATTCTGAGCTGAGGAATGGCTTGGTAAATATAGGAAGAATGATTAACAGTAGTTATGTGGAATGTGCTAAAGGGGAAGGAAACTGAGATCAGTCTAGGCTTTAGTTAAGATTGTTACTAGATAACAGTAAGTGAGAAGTGCCTATAAAGTAGGATCGAAAAAAATCTGAAGTCATTTTGGGAGAAAAATCTATAGCTTTTGTAGATTGTGATGGTTCAGTGTATAAACCCTTGAAGTCAGTCATATACTATTCTTTGTGAATCCTTGAATTATTGATAAGGGTATAGGAAGAATGATAATACACAGAAATATAATTTTGATGAATAAACTGACTGATGGCCTTAAATTTAATTGAACCTAACCATTGCCCATGCAGAAGAAATATTTTCAGAAGTGGCATAAACCAGGTTGTAAAATGAGAAAACATAAGCAGTTACAGAGTAGAGTTAAATCTGGAGATGTATACATACCACGAAAAATGAGACATTGAGAATAAACTTAATTTTTTTTTCTTTTATTTATTTATTTTTAAGGTGGGGTTTCACCCTGATGGCCAGGCTGGTCTTGAACTCCTAACCTCAGGTGATCCACCCATTTCGGCCTTCCAAAAGTCCTAGGAAGGCATGAGCCACCGCACCCGGCCGAGAATAAGCAAAATTTTTGAGAAGATATTAGGGTCACAAGAAATAAAGCCTTTTGGTTGATTGTTGCCAATATTTTGGACATGTCTCATGAAATTAACAGAGTTTAATTACAAAGAAAAGCTGGTCTACCTGGAAAAGACTGGTTTACACTCATTTTGGAAAGTATTAATATAACCAGCTCTTATCTTCCTAGTTCAGGCAGTCTTAGAAAAGTTCAAAGGGAAAAATTGGAATTAGAATTAAAGTGTTCAGTTCTTTAAGTGCAAGCTTTTGTCATCATTTTAAATATATGTGTTTTGTTTGCTTTTTAATGTCATAACATTTCAGAAAGGCTGAAATTAGATTTATAAGTAAATATTTTAAAAGATTAAGTTTATAATTGTAACTATTTAGATAAATTAGATATTAGCTAATAAATAAAAGTAAATATGAATTTAAGTATTGTATAAATATTTAGAGAATATTGTTCAAGATTATAATAAATTAGATATAGACACAATACAGATGGAAGTGAATATTCCTCCTGATAATATAACCCCTTGGTGTATTAATATTACTGAAACACGTATACCTTATCCTCAAAAACACAGAAAGCTAGAAGGCAGAACAGCTCTTTTTTGTAAATATCATTTTGAAAGATAAGTATGTTTTTATTTCTGTAGGTTGGAATTCTGGAAAGATCTATTCAAGCAGTGGAGGTAGAGAGTATGGCTTAAGAGAGAAAATAAAATGGGTAATGTTAAAAGAATAACTGGAACACTGAAAATAGGTTAGGTTTTTAAGATTGTAAGTAGAGAGAAGCTAGCATCAGACCAAGGATATTGAGAAAATGTTCATTTTTAGAATGTAAGAAAAGGAAGTAATATAGTAATGTCTAGGATAGGACCCTCTTGATTACAAGTGACAGAAAACTCAATCCAAATTGTCTTGAAAAAAATATTGTCTCCTATTACTAAAAAGTCAGGTGACTATAACTGGATTAACGGTTCAAATAAAGACTCAAAGATTTGGTTTCTTTCCTCCCTTTGAATTCCATTGTCTTGGCATTATTTTCAGATTCCATATGATGGCCTCTAGGACCTTTAGGCTCTCCTTTGCTGTGGTAAGATAGCTACAGAAACGCCAGCCACATATCTTCTAAAATTAAAATCCAAGGGGAATGAGACTTTCTCTTCCCCAGCATTGATTTGAATAAAAGTCCTGGGCCACCTGTGAAACAGTCTGTGCAAAGGGAATGGAATGCTCTAATTGGCTTAAGTCTGGGCCTCATGCCACATAGGCTAACAGTGAAGAAGTGGTTGTTCCAAAGAGAAATTCTTTTTAGGTAGGAAATGAGTGAATGAATATATATGTGCAGGGTGAAAAAAGAATTTTCACTGGATATACTAACATTTATTAAGTGCTTACTATGTATTGGGTACTCTACTGGACACTTTACATACTTTATCTCATTTAATCATTATAACTAACTTGCCAAGTAGGCATTATTTTCCTCATTTACATAAGAAAACAAAGTATAGTATCTTCAGGAAGATAAGCCAGGTGAATGTTTCAATAAGAAGGGATTTATGTGTGGAGAATGGTGATCGTATAAAAATATTATTTATTAGGGTTTTATAGAAATTCAGAAATGTATAAAAAAGGGTCATAATCCTACACTTAGATAATCCTGTATTAAATATATGATGGATTGATTAAAAAATACTGTGAGCATTGTGAAAAACTTGAAACAGTACAGAAACGTATAAAATTAGAATTTAAAGCTTTTCTTCTCATTCCAGTGCTCTTGTCCTCCCAGAGGTCTCCATTATTAAGTGTCTTGTATATCTTCCCAGAAAAATGTTTTGGTATCCACCAGCTTAAATATATATCTCACTTTTTATTTTCACAAAGGGGATTGAATTCTGTAATACAGCTGTATACCTTGCTTTTGTCCTTTAACATGGATGTCTCTTTATATCGACATGTATGGATTCATCTCATTTTAAAAATAGTTTTAAAACACAACATTCAATTATATTATGTGATTTAAAAAAATGTTAGTTGAATTAAATGTGTGTATTAAAGGTGACTACATATTTTTAAGTTTGTGAATCATATGGTTTATTGGTTAGAATTTATTAGACCACGCCACAGAAGAATTATAATTATAGCCAATAAGAATAATATTGAAGTATGGCTATTAATCAGAGCTAGAATTGCAAGGAAACATAAATACCACAGCGTACACATACACTTTAGCAAATGTGTACATTTACAATGTACACATTTAGCAAATGTGTACATTTACAATGTACACATTTAGCAAATGTATACATATACAATGGAATTGGGATGGGGTGGAAGATGGAGGTCTTTTCTAATTAAACCACGCTTGTCCAAGCCACAGCCCACAGGCCACATGCGGCCTAGGACAGCTTTGAATGCTGCACAACACAAATTTGTAAACTTTCTTAAAACATTATGAGATTTTTTTGTGATTTTTTTTTTTCTTTAGCTCATCAGCTATCATTAATGTTAGTATATCTTATGTGTGGCCCAAGACAATTCTTCCAGTGTGGCTCAGGGAAGCCAAAAGATTGGACACCCTTGATGAACTATACTGCCGTACTGTTTCCTGTGGTTAAGTCTTTGAGTCTGTGCCTGGAAATGGTGGGCCTGCCTCTCTTTCTTTTCTATCATACAAGAGATCTCCTCTCAAGTCTTCAAGTTTTATGATGGCACCAATCTGTAAAAAACTTGCCTTTCTCCTTTCTCTACTCTCACAGGAGTTTGGTCAGAGCTATCAATTTACGGGACTGTTGAGAAAAAAACTGTACTTTTAACAGGACCTTGGATAGTAGTAAGCCAGCCTGCTGGCTCTATTAACTAGTATGCAAGTGACTCAAAGAAAACTTGGTATAAATATGCTTGTGATCTAGCTCTTGAATTTCTTATCTATCCTTCACATTTTTGTTTACTACTCAAGATTTTTCTGCCACTTATTACTTATAGGTACATTCTTGTTGACAAGTCATGGACTCCCTGTTTATCACCTAAAATTTTTCTTATTGT